CCCATGTTATACAAAGAATAAATCACGAGTTGAAATAAGTCCAAATAAATAATCATGTCATTAGTTTTACTCATTATGCAATAGTCATTGTCATCTAAAACTCAAATTTTCCATTTATTCTCTCATTTTCTAAAATTTCATAATTTTAAAAATAAAAAAAAAACATAAAGGTTTACTATGTCAGTCATCACTCAAAAAAAAGAGAGGAAAAAATAGAAAATAGAATCTAAAAGAATCTGCATTTTGATGACGTGGCGTTAATGATTAGCTACCTTATGATATCAAAATTTTAATTTTGGTCAGAAACCGTCTCATATTATATTAACATGGTCAAACTCGAACCGATTTCCCTTGTGTTTGTTTCGACGACCGTCGTTTTCTGCGAAGACAATTCCGGCGCGTCGTTTTCCTTTCTCCACTTGGCAAACAGCCGGCGATGGCCGACACAGGAACTCATCATCAACATCAAGCATCACCTCCATTTAATAGCAAATATAATCGAACTCACAAATTAATTAAACTAATTCAATTAATAAATAAAAAATAATTGAAGGGACTGCTTACTGCTTAGACAACACAAGAGCTACTGGATAAAGACGTCCCTGGCTTTTTAAATTTTATTTATTTATTTGTGTATAAATAACAAATTCTTGATGTTGTCTTGTGATCCCACTTTTCCAGCCGTTGATTTTTCTTTCAAAGGTCCAGAGAGAGACTAATGCTTCAATTTATTGCGCGAGTTTTGAACTTTCCCGCCGAAAGAGAGAGACAAAGTAATTAAACCAGGGTTACGTCATTTTCATATCTTTTGACTAATACATCATACAATTTTAGTTTTTTCAGATAACGAGGAGGGAAATCGAGCTCAAGTGTACTGCTCACAGTACCTTAGCCGACTCACCTAACCTATATGTACAATATATGTTATATCTACATTTGTTAGAGCAAGTCCACCGTAGCAGTTTGGCCCGGGCAAGAGGGGCCCTTTGCTCACCAAAAGACTCCAATGCGCACAAAGTAGCCCGGGCAAGACATGGGGGCCACCAACCCGAGCAAGTCCAAAGACAGATTGCCTGGGTTTGCTTATGTTGTGTTGACACGTGGCAGCACCTGGGTCGTCCAATCAAATTTTCCACTGCAATCTAATGACTGGCATTTTTTATGTAATAAAAATTGAAAAAAATGAAGAAAAAAAACCAAAAAGTTATGATTTTTTTTTTCCATAAAATTAATTTTTAAAGTTTAAGTATTAAAAATAAAAAAATAAATTAAAGTGAATAGTAATTGCCCTCGCCCATAGGAGTGGAAACAAAGTTGCAAGGGCTGTTACTATTCACATGAATAGTGATAGCCCTTATCTTATCCTTGCCCATAGAAGTGGAAGTGCTCTTATCCCTCACAATAAGTGGATTCATTTAGACCATCACCAAACTACCATGTGCATAAACATTACCCGTGTAACTAACCTGTTTACCCAATTGGCATATCTAAGGTTATATTACCTGGCGCATGTGTCACCGTTGTTTAATTTGACTATTTAGCCTCAAATCAGAATTCTATATTTTTTTTGGGGTCTAAACATGTGCTTTCAAGTGGGCGGCGCATGCACGGCTGATGCAGCCCTAGCTTGAACCAAATAGACTTTTCCACGACTAACACAAGCCTTCTGTATACAAGGCAGGCGGGGAGGCACGCAGGGCCCGTGCGTTGAGACTTTGATGTCAAGCTGAGGGCGTACGTGTAATAATTATAAAACATTATCTTGCGGAAAATATGAGCAGCACTACTTGCTTGGTGTAATTTTTTTAGAAGATCATAAAATAAAAAGAGACCAAAATCCCCTCCTACTTTCGGTTTATTTAGTGTAGATGCTGCAAATGAGGACACAAACAAAATATTTAGCCTTATGCCCATGTGGGTGATGCGCACTTAGCAGTGCCCATGCTTCCATTGCAAGTTACAAGCAAACATGTCTTTATGTTGTTTCGCACTTCGAAATATTCATAAATAAAATTATAGTATGAAAAATTTGTAAAAACCGTACCTATCATTCTCTAGAATGGTTATATTTTAAGTCGTTTTTTAAGAATACGATAAAATGACTGAACGGTTTCTGATTTGATTGATTGATTTATTTATGCAGGAATGATCCTTAAAAGATACCTTAAACAATAACGGAAAATTTGGGAGAGAATGAAATTTTCGGATATGATGTTTTCTTGTGGAGTGCTATAATTGGATTTTCAGAGCTTACTATTTAGGAACATGAAAGGCAATGAGTGTGGGAAACATGTAATGTAATGTTAATTATAGACTGTGATTGAAGGGCGTGAGTGGAGGCCAGGTGGTGTGCCATGTGTGAAACAATACAAAAATTATAATCTTGGCGATGAAGGGATATATAATATATGTAGTGTGAATGTGTTACTCCAATTACGTACAATTGAGTGATGCCTAAGCTTGTTAGCATTATACCATCTTATTTGCTTTTTCGCCTTTATGTATTTTCTTTTTTCCTTTATCTTTTTTACTTTATTTTTCTTTTCTTTTCCCAATTGGTGTCTTTATTACTTTTCCAAGTGGTCATGCAAAAGCCGGTCATCTTCCATATACACAAGGATATATCCATGTTCCTTGCCTTGTTTCCCAAGGTTTCTTTTTGTAATCTTATCATCAAATTAGTGAATTACAATAATTTTATAAGGGGCAAATTTATTTATGAAAAGGATAGATACCTAGTCATTTATCGCACTAGCAAATGACAAGTAGTAGAGGTGGTCGTGAAAAGCTTTTCTGCTAAATAATCTTGCAATGACTTAATTCATCCAAAATCTAGGCCTATTAGAACCTCATTTACTATTTAAGCTAAGCTCCACAAAACTCTATTTCATAATTAAGAAAATTTCAAACACAGGGGATTAGGGGGATACGTTTTAGTCATCAGCTTTTTATAAATAGTCCCCAATTCTTCTTCTATGTTAAAGAACATATCCATATTATGCCTTGAATGTACATGGGTATTTTGCCAGAGTTGTCAGGAGGACTAAACTATAATTAAGTATTATTTTTCTAATAATTAAGCGACATGTATGCTGACAAATAATTCGATGAACAATTTTAATGAGCTTAATTAGCATTGTAGACCAACAAATTGGTAGTTAGTTGTAGCCATATCTGCCTGAATCATTAATCTCATAATAAAGAAAGATTGCATTTGGTGGAGAGGCAATTAAGAAAGAATGATCATGATCGCATCAAGAGAGGAAATCGGATGCACACAAAAAAGCTGGTGCATGCAGTCTACTACTTGAGAGTCAAACCTAGAAAACATGAAAAGAAACAAACACGATCATCATCAAATTAAGAAAACAAAAAGTTTTGGATAAGCGTAAAGCATGCCACTAATTAAACCAAACAAAACACCTTTAATTTCCTTTCCGCTATTCTTTGATCCCGATCTCATCCCACTTTGCAAACCCATTTTCTCAGCTGTTCAGATAGCAATTGGAATGAAACTAAAGTAGGGCTTTTGGTTATCATGCTGAGAAGAAGTAACATGGGTTTGGAATAGTATAGCAGTGGGGGCACGTGTGGAAGTTCCAGCTGAGCAAAGTGATTAAGAATGTAATATAAAATTAAAATTGTTTAGTTAAGGTGCAAATAGTCTTGGTAAATATGGAGGCTGAGAGAGAGAGAGAAAGAGGGGGAGAGAGAGAGAGAATATCGAGGAACATGTCACCTTGATTAGCGGTGAAGTATGGGTTTTGTGTCTTAAGCTTGTCGTTTGCCTTTTTGATGGTGTGAGTGTTTGCACTGTCCATGGATAGAGTTTATAGATTCTTTTGGGAAAAAGTTTGACCATATGTCTGTTTCCTCTGCATTTACAGTTTGACCAGCCCACAAGATCTGCAATCCCACTGTCACTCTGTTGCTCTTTTGAGTGGAAACCAGCCCGCACTAATCTCAATCTTAACCTAAACCTAAATGCTATTTAATTAATTAATCTGTTAATGAAATCAACAAGGCAAGTATCAATGGTGGGCTACTTATTACTTCCCCAGAGTTTGTTGGCAAACCAAAGTACAATCATTAGAAATTATTTAATACCAACCAATGTAAAGCTCAACATTGCTGCTATAGTTTGTCTTTTGCAAATTCGTATTTGTATTGGATGAGTTGGGGGGTCATTTAGATTTCTGTATGATGTGTATGTATAAGTTTTTCTTTTTGTATTTTTAATGTATTATTGTTGCATATGTGTTCGAGAGGAGTATCTCTTTACAAGTAAGGAGGCAAGCTGTATTCTTTTATTTTTGTTTTGACATGGGCAATGCCCAATTTTGTAGCTTGCAATTGCACCCTTTTTCCTTGTTTTGGCCCTGGGCTTCTGACTAAGTGGACTTTGCAGAAGATGACAACTTTGAAAGGTTCAAAAAACTCACACTTCTGGGCCTGTTCTGATTAGGCCTGAACACTCCACATCACAGGGCCTGAAATTTATTGGTTTTCCCCTTTGTTCTTCTTTTGGTATGCAATTCAATTGGTACTGCAGCAAACATAGGATACTGTGAGTCATGCGACAAGGACAAAGGAAAGTGCCAAGCAGCTTCGTTTTATCCAAATTCTGAGCACAAATCAATAATTTATGTATCCGCCCTGATCTTCCATTTATATATATATATATATTTTTGTCAAACTTCCATTTATATTTAATTACCGAATTTTTCAATAGTACATCCAATGAACCGATGTATTTCATTTTTAAAATTAAAAATTAAAATCCAACCGTGGATGAAACAATGCATCGATACATTCAAATTCAATGTAGTGCAGTAGTACACTCGATTATGGTTGATTAAGCAACTTCAAAACAAGAGTTAATACAATCGCATTTCTGATTTCATTTGTTGGTGAACATTTCTTCTTTTGTGCATATCTTGGAGAATGAGGCAGACCATAAAACTTACCTGTGACTCGTGAGAAGGAAGGAACCGACTATACACCGAATGAACCACACGCATTCCCAACTCCAAATTCCAGAATTGAGAAGCATATCATATCATGTGACATGTCTTTGTGCTTCTATCACGTGAAACTCCACCTGAAAATCCAATCGAAAGGCCCTTAATCAATTTAATATAGAAAACGGTCCCACCAATAAAGACCTGGTCCAACTTGGATGGTCAGGATGAAAGCAAAGTTAAAACCAGCCAACAGTAAAAAACGCATACAAGCCACCATTTTCCCTGCAGCTATAATTCGTCATCTTCTTTATATTCCGCCGCTGCTTAATCCATAAGCTTCTCAAACCATCCTCTTTCTATGCTTTTCTGTCTTTTGATTGTTCACACGCCACAACTGTGTCTTCTTGTCCGATCAAAATAACCAAACTGGTGCAGAACAGAGAGTGAGAGACATCAGAATGGGAAATGATAGGAAGATTGGCGTTGCCATGGACTTCTCAAAGAGCAGCAAGAACGCGCTGGAATGGGCTGTGGACAATTTGCTTGACAAAGGTGACACCCTTTACATCATCCACATCAACCCCAACTCCCTCGACGAGTCTCGTACCCAACTCTGGGCCCAATCTGGTTCTCGTAAGTTCATAAAGTCTCATCCTTTTAATGTATATATAGCTAAAGTTTAAAGCTTTAAATCAAATCAAATATCAACTTGATCTGGGGTTTTTTTTTTGAGCTGAAGATTAAAGCTTGAAATCAAGTTTGATCTGGGTTTTCTTTACTTTTCTTTTTGCAGCTCTGATTCCATTGACGGAGTTCAGAGAGCCCGAGATCATGAAGAAGTATGATGTGCAAACTGATATTGAAGTTCTTGATACACTTGACACTGCTTCCAGGCAGAAAGAGGTTTGCTTTCTTGCTTCTCTGTTTTTTTTTTTTTTTTTTTTTTTTTTTGTATAAATGTTTGATTTTGATCTATGCTTCATCTTGCCCATCTGGTTTTGTAATTAATGGTTGTTTCTTGTTGGGTTTTGACGGTATGATTTGAAGGCGAACATTGTGACAAAACTGTACTGGGGAGATGCAAGGGAGAAGCTTCTTCAGGCGATTGAAGATCTGAAGCTGGACTCTTTGGTCATGGGAAGCAGAGGCCTTGGTACCATCAAAAGGTATTGTAATTTTCTTTCTTTTTTCCCTTTATTTGTTTAATTATTTATTTACAATATGGTTTTCTTAATTGTGCAAATGAAACAGGATCCTGCTGGGGAGTGTGAGCAACTATGTGCTGACAAATGCTCCAATCCCTGTGACCATTGTCAAGGACCCAAGCTTGCAACACCATTGAATCATGGACGGTTGGAAACTTTGGATTTGGTTTTTCAATAATGTTTCATCACCTTTGGCATGGGCATTGCTTAATTTTTATGTTTTACTTGATCGTGGTTTACTAGAACATTTCAAGTTATGATGTCTAAACGGATGGAAATGTACTCTGATTTGAATAGCAATGAATTTGTGTGTATTAATTTGGTTTGTCTCATTGCCTTCACGCGCATTCATGAAATTATTGAATTTCTTGACAAGAAACAGGTCATGCTCAGTATTATAAGAGCATTTACAATGGGCATTCTAAACCATCTCCTTTGATATTAGGGACGAATTGGAAAAATACAATTTCAACTAGGGGCGGAGCCACACTGGGATCAGTGTGGTCCTGGGCCTCCACTCAAGTTTTTATATATTTTAAAAGTAATATAGTGTTATGTATTTCTATATGTATATTATTTCAAATACTTTACGTTTTGATATGTATCCACATGTGTTGTGGCGGATCTATTAAGGCACAATGAGGTGCTTCAAATTGCCCCTTTGCTTAGTTGGTGGTGGTGCACTCCAGGTATACAGATTACCTTATTTTCATTTTCAACATTTAAGTAAATGTCTTTGTCCTTTTACTTTAATTTATTTTTATATTACTCTATTTACTTAAGTTTACAATGTAAATAAGGAAGTACCCCCTATTTGGATTCAAATAAAAATACTAGAAATCAAATTCCCACCAAATCAAAATATGAAAAATCGGTTTTAGTGCAAAATACGATTTAGGCTAAAAATGATGGCTCATTGACAATACTTTATACTAAAATTCCATAAAATCAAATTTTCTTATTTGATGTGTAAGGAATAAAAGCCGCCAAAAATTATCTTCAAAAAATGATTATTCCGAAAAACCTTTTTTCATACTTAGTCAATATTGCACATCCGCTAAAAAATTTATGGGTCCGTCAGTGGTTATACAAGGGGAACAAAGCAACAACCTCTTTCCTCCTCCATTATTTTCCTCTGGGGCTGCTATTATGAAAATGTAGCATATATGGTGGTAGAGTCTCGTATGGATGATGAGTGCATTCTATAATTTAGGAAACTTGACAACTGGATTTCTCATTTTAAAGGGATGATTAGTTCAAGCAATTTAAACTCTGTTTAGCAACTAGTTGGATTATTATTGTAAGTATCCATCAACCTTATCAGAAGGAATTACTTTCTAATTAGGTTAGAATCATTAAACCTATGTGAGACCCATCTGTATTAGAGAAGTGATTATTAATGTGGTCAATAAATATAGTTCGAATAGCAACAACCTAATTAATATATATCAACACCAACAATGTGGTTAAAATAGATGGCCGTACCCTAGTTAATACATATCAACAACCCAAGTGGTGCAGCAGAAGACCAAGTTAAGCAAACTACACTCAAAGGATAGGAAGATTGGTGTGGCCATAGACTTCTCATCAAAGAGCAGCAAGGCGCTGGGATGGGCTTTAGCTAATTTGGTCAGGGGTGACACACTTTACATCATCCACGTCAAGCCTACAAATGCTCCTAACAAACTTTGGGCAGAATCTGGTTCTCGTAAGTAGAAATTCCAAGGAGAAGAGGTTGAATTGGTTGAACTTGAAAAAATTCTGAAGAAATGTCATGTTCATTTGAGGAGGCATATATATTCCAAATATTTGTCATTTTACGTTTGGTTGCAATGCAATGCAAGCATGTTTTCTTATGTGTTTGATGTGGGTTTTTTGCAGCTTTTATTCCACTGACAGATTTCAGACAGCCAGAGACCAGGAAGAAGTACGACATCCAAACCGATATCGAAGTTCTTGACACAGTTGACACTGCTGCCAAACAGAAGGAGGTTTGCTGGCTAGCTACTCTGTCTGGTTCGTATTTTTATTTCTTGTAGTTGTAAACTTCCATTCCTATAATTATTAGAAACTTGGATTTGGGGTTTTCAATAATCTGTCATCAATTGCTTATTGCTAACATGGGAATTAATGCTTGATTACAATGGTTTACTTGATCTTGGAGACTTTAGTCTCCTGGAGTTGTTCAAGTTGTAATATCGAATGCATGTGGACTTGTACTCTGTTTTGAAGAAAAATATATTTGGTTCTGGTTCTGGTTTTGTGCATTTGTTCTTCATACATAGCCATCCAAAGTGATCTAAAGTAGGGTGAGTAAAAATCACCCCACCCATTCAAACCAAAACGCTCGGTTCGATTCGGTTTGCACACTAAAAACAGTGTAATTTTAGACCAACAATTAGTTTAGTTTATTATTCGAACTATAACATTAATTCAACGTGAACTATAACATTATTCGGCTGTACTGTTGAAATAATCTATTTATGACGTATAGCCGAGCGGCTGTACTTTTAAAATTTCTATTTATGGCGTATAGCCGTGCGGCTGTAACTGTTAAAATATTCTCTACTTCTGGAGTACCGTCGCGCGGCTACTTACCTATAAAATATCTATTTATGGTGTATAGCCGCACGGCTGTACGGTATTTAAAAAAAAAAAAATACAAAGCGTATTGCCCAGCGTCTATACTATTTAAAAGTATTATAGGTGAGTAGCCGTCGCGCGGCTAAATTTATACTTTTAAATAGTATAGCCGTACGGCTATACCGGAAAAAAATCTTAACCGCCCGGCTTTACCGTAAAATTTCTATTTATAGATTATAGCCGTTCGGCTATACAATTAAAATATCTACTTAAAGTGTATAGCCGAACGGCTATACTGCTAAACTATTCTACTTATAGAGCATAGCTGCCCGGCGATACATATAAAATATCTATTTATGTAGCCGGCTGTAATGTTAAAATTTCTGTTTACGGAGTATAGCCGCGCAGTTATACGGTTAAAATATTCTTTTTATATAGTATAGCCATACTACGATACGTTTAAGATATTTATTTATGGAGTATAGCCGGCCGACGTTACTATCATTGGTAATTAAATTATATCCTGCCAGCATCGACGAATCTCGGAACCAACTTTGGGCCGAATCTGGTTCTCGTAAATAGAAATTCTAGGGAGAAGCGGTTCAATTCGTTGAACTTGAAAGAAGTATTATTATGTAAAGGAGAAATTTGTATGAACTTTAAATTTTTTTTTGTTAATATACTTCATCTTTTGTATTTGATGTGGGTTTTTTTTTTGCAGCTCTTATTCCACTGACGGAGTTCAGAGAGCCCGAGATCATGAACAAGTACAATGTCCAAACCGATATCGAAGTTCTTGACACACTAGACTACGCTGCCAAGCAGAAAGGGGTTTGCTTGCTACTCTGGTTTGTTTCTTTCTTGTAATATATTTGAATCATTTCGAAATATGGACCATCTGGGATTTAGTTAACGTGATTAAAGGTGAACATTGTGATAAAGCTGTACTGGGGAGATGCAAGGGAGAAGCTCGTTGAGGCGATTGAAGACCTGAAGCTGGACTCTTTGGTCATGGGAAGCAGAGGCCTTGGTGCCATCAAAACGTATGTAATTCTGTTTTTTTTTCCTCAATTTTTTGTTAATAGATGTGGGACAATATTTTTCACATTTTGTGATTGTACAAAACAGGATCATAGTGGGGAGCGTGGCTAAGTATGTGCTCGCATATGCTCCATTCCCAGACCATCGTCAAGTACCCAAATTTCCAGCATTTCCATTAATATAATTAGAAACTTTGGATTTGGGTTTTTAATAATCTGTCACCAATTGTTAACATGGGTATTAATGCTTGATTAGTATGTTTTACTTGATCTTGGAGACTTGGTCTCCTAGAATTGTTCAAGTTATAATAGTACAGAATGGATGGGCATGTTATGTTACTGTTTTCAAGAATAATATATTTGTCCCCATCAAATCTGATTTTGTGTATTTGTTCTTCAATCATAGCCATCCAAAGTGGTCACAAGTAGGGGTGGGCAAAAACCTCAACCATTCAAATTAAAATGCTCGGTTAGGTTCGGTTAGGTTTGGTTTTCACACTTAAAAAGTGTAATTTTAGAAAAAACAATTAGTTTAGTTTAGTACATACTATTAGTTTTTGATGTATAAATCAAACCAATCCGAACTATAATATTACATTAATTCAAGTTGAAGTTTGAAGCTCAAATCAAACAAAACCGACCCCTCGTCACAACGCATATCCTATTAACATCTTTGTCTCATAATTTGTCTCTACACACATTTATGAATTTGTTACATTTGTTTGCAAGAAACAAGTCCTGGTCTGCTGCAATATAAAAAAGAAATACTGTCTCTTTATTGAGATCCAAAATATCCAAATAAAAGCAACTAGGTCATCCGTCCACCCCACCAACACAAGTATTTTCTTATGCTTGGTCGATTTTAATAAGATAACAAGTGCAACTAGGTCGTAATAAAACAGAGAGCAGTTTTGCTGATATATATTATACAAGCGATATTAAGAAAGGAGAAATTGAACTTAGAACAACGAGTGCATAGATAAATACTCTTAACAGACTTTTGTTTGACTGACATTTCATAACAAAGAGGGCACTAATAAATATGTATTCTTACATTGATTCATGAGCCATTTACTTTGCAAGTAGTTTGGTGCTTTCACAACGACCAAGGAAGAAGGCAATTAGTGTTTCTTTATTAGGAGGCAGAACTTCCTTAACAACACTGTGGCTCACAAACTCATCACACCAATCATATAGCTTGGGACACTTCTCTTTGGTCAACACCTCCACACCCACAGCTTCTTGAATAGGTCTAAGCCAGTAGCCTATGAAGCTAGCAGCCATATCTACAAATCCAATTGTCTCTCCCCCAAAGAACTTGTTATCCTTGAGCTCATTTTCAAGAAATTTCAGAAGCTCACAGGCTTCTTCCATAGCCTTCTCATGGCCCTCAATTTCCCAGTAAGCTTTGCATATTGCAGGTGAGCACTAAAAAGAGTAAAGTCAAACAAAACACATTGAGAATCAGGCATAAATAAGCTGACACACAGGTAAAAAAATAGGGGCTCTATCTTTTCTTGTCACACTTATGTTATCTCATACTGATAATTTAGACCACACGTTAACGCAAGAATTAATTTAAGTATCAAGTTTTAAAATATGCTTAAGGGTTCATCAACATGATATTGATCTATACCCTAACAGAGAAAGGTGAACCAGTATCTAACAGCTATATATATGTTCTCGATGTTAGATAGATGGCATATATGATTGAAGTGAAAAAATATATTTATACCTTCTCATCAATGAAGCTAGCCCAGAAGCGTGCATTGGCTCTTTGGTAAGGGTCTTGAGGCAATATTGGAAGGCCCTGATGCTTCCAAGTCTCATCAATGTATTCAAGAATAACAAGGGACTCTGCTATTGGTTTCTCATTGTGTACAAGCACAGGGACCTTCTTGTGAACTGGATTGTACTTGATGAGCGAAGGGCTCTTGTTCTGCAGGTCCTCTTCGCAGAATTTGGATTTCACACCTTTCAGTCTCAGAGCTATATCCACTCTGAGACTTAATGGGCTTCCCCTAACCCCATAGTGCATCACTTCCTCTGCCTCTGCCATGGTGTTTTAGGTTCAAGTTTTAGTCTTTGCTTGTGGGTTTATAGAGGTAGAAATTCTATAATGAGTTTGGTGATGAAAAGATTCTGAGTCACATTTTGCTCATCGAAACCCGACACTCTTTGGTTTATTAATTTTAAAAGACTAAGTTAATTAATATTTGTGTACTGATTTATTTTCAATTATGAAAAACGATAAGAAGTAAGCACATGAAGTTCTCGGTAACTTGTCTGCTATTCTGCCAAGCCTTGTTAGTTTTAACAGTAAACCTCCCAACCTACAGAGTCATTTACGAGTTCATACCCAATTTTGGGGACATTTATGAGTACTTACTCAACGTCGCGGAAAACCTACAATTTGCCCCATCCGTTAGTGAGATCATCAGAAAATCCGTTATCTACCTACATGGCATTTGTAGGACCCATTTTTTAATTGACGTGGGATTTCACGTGGACAAAAAATTAATAAAAAATTATGTAAATTTTAAAAATAATTTTAAAATCATTAAAATAAAAAAATAAAAAATCTCATCTCTCTTCTCCAACCCAGCCAACCCTCTCTCCCTCCCGACTCAACCCCACCTCTCAGCCACCACTCTCCTGTCACCGCCTAAAGAACCACCCAGCCATTTCCCAAAACCCACCACCCAGCCACCGCCCAAAAAATCCAGTGCCAATTCAGATGATGAAGACGAATTCGAGGGGAAAATTTGCAAACCCATGTTTGCCATCTTCTCCTCCCTCCCTTCACCATGAATACCCAAAAACCAAAAACAGAAAACCCAGAAGAAAAAAAGCTGCACGAGGAGTGCGCCCGTTGAGGAGCCAAACCCCTCTCTTCCTCCCGACTCAACCCCACTTCTCAGCCACCACTCTCCCGTCGCCCACAACAAATCCATTAGGAAAAAAAAAACCAACCTGAATCTCTTAGCTCACCCCAGCCTAACACCACTCCCAAGTCTCTGAGCCCCGACATCCAACACCCACCCTCCTCTTGGAACCCACGCCACACAAACAATCCAGGAACCAATTCGTTATTAAAATCAAACACATGCGCTGGAATCTACAAATTGAATGATGCAGATTGATTAACTAAATTTTCAGAAACACGTATGCTCTGTAAATGATGAAAAGAGATATCACAAGCCAAATAGGCATGCCCTCGGAAATTACCCTTGAGGCTTTTAAAACCCCTACAAAAAACAAAAAAAACAAAAAAAAACAAAACAAAAAACCAGGCCAGTCGCCATAACCCACCAAACTCAAATTGATTTCAAAACCTAATTTGTACTTGGTCAATTTATTGATCAAATTCGAATTTGAATCCAAACCCTAAGGTTGCAGAACACTAAAAAGCCTTAATTTCAGGCTTCGCTCGATCAAAGGATGAGCTTTATGTAGCTTCGCTTGATCTGAACAAGAAATTTTCTTCTTGTTTAGGGCATGAATAAGACGACCGTCCAATCCGAGGCTTTCGAACGTCTGCTCCTCTTCGTCATCACTTTCAATATCCTTGGGTGGCTTCTTCGTAGTTTCAGCCATGGGAGAGTTTGTAGACTCCGAAGTTTTGATTTTTGGTGCTAACAAAAAAACCGAAATGGTTTTGTTTTTTGCTTAGGTGGGGGAAGAAATCTGGGTGGAGGGAAGAAATTGGGAGGAAGGGGGAAGAAATCAGAGAGAGAGAGAGAGAGAATATGGGTAGGGTTTTTAATTAGGTTTTTTAGGTTTTAGACATATTAATGCATGTTATTAAATTTGATCAATAGTACACATAAAAAAAAAATTCTGAAATTTATAATAAACACATCACATGAAGAGAAATTTACGATTTAAATCACACCAACAATTTATGATGAAACTAAGGATAAACTACAGTAAACCCCCCAACCTATAGGGTCATGTACGAGTTCATATCCGATTTTAGGGACATTTATGAATATATACTTAACGTCGCAGAAAACCTACAATTTGCCCCCTCCGTTAGTGAGATCGTCAGAAAATTCATTATCTGCATATGTGGCATTTGTGGGACCCATTTTTTAATTGATGTGGGATTCCACGTGGACAAAAAATAAATAAAAAATTTACTTTTTAAATTATTTTAAAAAATTAAACATATTAAATTATAAATTTAAAAAAATTAAAAAGGGACATTTTGAAAAAAGCAAAAGGAGAGAGAAAACGACACATTAACTTTTGGTTACCAACTGATATTACAGTGTTTCACTTGTTTCCTGTCTTGACCCACTTTGAACTTTATTTATTTTATTAACAAATAAGAAATTTCGACATAAGTTGATAATTGAGTAACTCTTTATTTCAACGATATGAGAACAAAGATGACAATACATATATATCAAACAAGAACCCGAGACTTATTACATTAATGTAGATTTATTCTTGTAATTTTTGGTGAGCCATGAAATGCTTGCAAATAAGCAATCTATGGCGATCATGAACCATCTACTTGGTGCTTTCAAAGCGACCTCGGAAGAAAGCAACTAGTTTATCTCATGGAGGCAAGATGTCCTGAAGAACATTGGCATATTCTCTATCTGGAAATAGAGCTCGAATGGAGGCTCGTATCAAAGTCCAACATACATCGATAACATAATTCAAGAGTAGCAGTGGTGCAGTGCTCAATGTGCCTAGAAGAAAGTAAATAAACATGCTAGATAAGAGAAGAGCTAAGGAAAATATCTGTGTGCTGTATGTTTCCTGTCAGATAAAAGTGAGTCATAAGTATTTACAATCAGCTTATAGCGTATAGCCGCGCGGCTATACTTTTAAAATATCTAGTTAAGAGGTCTAGCCGATCGGCTTGACTTTTAAAATTTCTATTTATGAAGTATAGCCGCGCGGCTATACGTTTAAAATAGAGGATAATAGCGTATAGCCGGTCGGCTGTACCTTTAAAATTTCTATTTATATAGTATAGCCGCTCGGCTATACGTTTGCATCTCAGTCGTCTCCTCTTCAGCAACATCCGTTTGAGCTCGTACTTTATATCAGTCGCTCTTGTGACTTGTTTTTCACCTTTCTTGGACTTGATCAAGTCTTTTTATTTCAGATTCGTACTTCTCTTGCTCCAATATCTATTTTCTCTCTCTCAAGTGAGTGGGCCTTTGCATTTGCCTCTTCTAATTTTTGACTTACGTCCCTGATTTCAAGCTTCATCGATGATATTTCAGCACTATAACTATCTACTTTCGATTTGGCAGTCTGCAAAGAATGTGTAGTAGTCTTTTTATTATGGTCTACTAGTTTTCTCATCATAAATCATAAATTTCTCATCATGTTACGTGTTGACTAGAATTTTTAGAATGCATATCAGACTTAATGTGTATTAATTTAGAATGAGTAATGCTAGACACAAAAACTTTTGGTTTATCAACTAATGTAGCAGTGTTTCACTTGTTTCTTGTCAACTTTAGTTATTTGTAACAAATAAGAAATTGCCACATTGATAATTCAGTAACTCTTTATTTGAATGACATCACAACAAAGATGGAAATACATAACTATCAAACAAGAACTCAACTTACTACATTCTTGTAATTTTTCATGAGGCAGGAAACGCTTGCAATAAGCAATCTATGGTTACCATGAACCATTTAGTTGGAAGTAGAAGTAGAATTAGTAGTGGTGCTTTCAAAGTGGCCCCGGAGAAAAGCAACTAGTTTATCTCTTGGAGGCAAACTTTCCTGAAGAACATTGACAAACTCATCACTCCAATCGTATAGCTTGGGAAGCTTCTCTTTGGTCAAAATCTCCACTCCCACAACTTCTTGAATGGCTCTCAGCCAGTAGGCTATGAAGTTACCAACAATATCCACAAGGCCAACTTTCTCTCCCCCAAAGAACTTGTTACCCTTGAGCTCATGTTCAAGTAGTTTCAGAAGCTCACATGCTTCTTCCACAGCCTTCTCATGTTCCTCACTACCCCAGCAAGCATTCCACATTGCAGGCAAGCACTAAAGACAAACAAAACAAATAGAAAACTTAAATTAGTGATTAGGTTGTGGTGTTTGATTGATTCAAATCTAGGTTTATTTTAAGCTAAATTTCTACTAACAAATTGTATTGACATGTGCACTCATAAATCGTGTTAAATCGCATACACAAAGACTGAAGTGAAACACTTTTACCTTTTCATCAATGAACCTAGCCCAGAAGCGTGCATGGGCTCTTTCATAAGGATCTTCAGGCAAAATGGAAAACCCCTGCTTCCAGGTCTCATCAATATATTCAAGAATGACTTGGGACTCTGCTATTGGTCTGTCATCGTGCAGGAGCACAGGGATCTTCTTGTGAACTGGGTTGGATTTGAGAAGCAAGGCACTCTTGTTGTGCAGGTCCTCTTCAAAGAACTCATACTGCACCCCTTTCAGTCTCAGAGCTATTTCCACTCTGGAACTAAAAGGGCTTTTCCAAAGCCCCAACAGCTTCACTTCCTCACCCATTATATCACTAATCAGTCAAGTTTTACTCTTAACACTTTTTGTATACATGACTGGATTTTCCTTCTGGGTTTTATAGGAGCAAGAACAGTGTTAACTTGGGCATTCAGACACCTCTACACACTGTTCAAAAGTCAATAATCTTAATAAAATAGTGAGTTGGTGGCGGATGCATCTAGATGATGCTTTGTTGACAATTTGTTCATTGAAACTTGCTACTCTTTTTGTTGTCTTATTTATTTACTTTTTCTAAATTGGAAAACGAACTTATCCGCAATTGTCCCATTTCTGTTGGGACAATGCTTAGCTCCCGATTCCTCCTCCATAGCTGACGTGGCTTCCTTAAAAAACAACACATGTTTCTTCCTCTTCTTTGTTTTTTTTACTGTTTTTCTTTCAACCCCATTAACTCAAGCCTTCGTCCAGAGGAAAAATAATCCAGAAACCACCAATACACTCCACCACCAAAACCCATGCGGCCAAGCCACACCGTCGTCACCCCAAGCCACCCTTAGCCAAACCCAACCCCATTACTGTCACCTCTCACTTCTCTGTATCAATTCCCATCTCCTCTTTCTCTGCTATGCATCAATTCCTAAATCCTAATCCCATCTCCTCTCTCTGCTCGGTA